ATTCCAAGTGAACTGAATCAATAACCGTCGTAGTCAAGTCACAGATTTTTGGACCAAAACTACGGCAAGGAGGCTAGTTTGAAAATTGATTCAATTTATGAAAAAATATAAATACATGTTTATTCAATATATATATATATATATGTTTATTCAGCAAAAGTACGTTTTTGTGTCTGATTTCGTAACTTAAAATATAGTCTGCACTTATTGACTAGCATATTTGAGATCACCCCCTCGAACAAATAAGATTGAGTCCTAGAATATGAAGATCCGATCATTAGATCATAAGTTATTAAGGGCGGTCAGTTTATTTCCTTGCGCACTGTACATTTCACGCCTAATATTAGTGATACAAGAAACAATACAGGTAGTAGTAACTGAAATTAATTACAAAACATCAGTTTTAAATGAAAAAAAAAACACTTTTTAATTTACATCTTAAGGACACTATTCTTTTATTACAGGTAAACATTTAAGTGATAAAATCTTTGAAGTAAAAAATTCTTTCTAAAAAGAATAATTTAGAATTTAGGCTAACTACTTATTTACTAAAACAAAAATTCAACAACCAACAATTTATTTGTGTCCACTGTATAAATGAAGTGTTAGAACACTGCATCAAAGCTGCAGTGGTTAGGGGGTAGCACAAGCACCTCTCAATAAAATGACCCACGTTTGACACCCGGCACCCAGAGATGATGGTCAATATAAAATTTGTAACAGGCTCCTGCTGATCTCTGTGCTCACATAAAATATCCTCAATGGTAGATGGATATAAAATAAAAATAGCATTCCATATATTAAGAATGAAATCTTCACATCTTATTTTCACACTTGAAAAAAAAAGTATATGTTTGGTAATCATTTTTTGCACCTCCTAGAGAAAATTTAAGCAGGCACCCTACCTTGAGCATCTAAAAGGGGGGGGGGCAAAATGAGTCAGCCATTAATGTTTGTTTTAATTTCTTACTAAGCATAAATAAGTATTTTTTTTCATTTAAATGAAAGTTAATAAAACTCTTATATATAGATGGAACTAAAAAAAGAGTATCATTGAAAGAATTGAAAACATAATAAAATTACTATAAGAATACAACATGTAAATACTAAAAGAAGAATACAACACGTAAATACTAAAAGAAGAATACAACACGTAAATACTTATATAAGAATTAAAACACACAAACATCTATATAGTAATCAAATACTTCACTAACATATGGAAATAATACAAATTACAAGCCATTCAGATACATACTATACTTCAGACAAAACCAAATTCTCTAAGATTTTCGAAACATTATAAAAATTTACATAATAATTTTTGATTTAAATTAGTGTAATTCTAATTGTATTTTCAAAATTTACTTAATAATTTTTATAAGCATTGAGAATTAAAAATATAAATGCTAAATAAGATATGGATAAAAACAGAAGATTCTTTAGAAGTTAAATTGACTTGTGCGATACAATGCGTAATACAATGTGTGTTGATACAATGCGTAAAACATCTAAAAAAGCACAGCATGTAACAACCAATAAAAGAATAAAACAAGGGAGAACTAAATAAGAAGTACAACACTTCTAAAAAGAATGCAAAAACACAAATAAGCAATAAAAACTACATGGTACATAAAACAAATAAATAAAATCATTTACAGTTTATATATAAACAGGATATTTCATATCATCTGCCCTGAATCTAAATATCTTTAGAATCTTTGTCAAAATAGAAATAATAAAATGCTTTCTTGGGGCTACAAATTAATATTTATTAATAAGACAGAAAAGTTTTATTAAGATCTGTCAAATCACGACAGAAGAATTAAAATTATTGAAATTTTGGTTACTTCATGAAACTCAGGCATGATTAGGCAAACAAACTAGTTTTGAAGTTTTTGTTCTTGTCTCACCTTTCTAAATGTTATTTTTTAAAAATTTCTACAGGATTTTTTTATGGTTTGAATAATAATTTGTGAACCCAAATGCAGAAGCACTTTTGAAAAATATTCTAAAATAATACATTAAAACTGGTCAATATGGTAAATCATATACCCAATATGGTAAATCATCTCTTACTAATCGTATAATGTATTTATTTCTTCGATATTCAGCAATGTGTTTGTCATACAATTTTTGTCATCATAATAAATATAATTCTATCATAAATTTATACAATAAGAAAATGAGTAACAGGTAGTTTCACTAAATTAACAAAAAATATCACCACAGAAAATTTAGAGAAACTCACAAAAGAAAGAAGCAAAAATTGAGGAGCCTATCATGAGAAATGAAATTTTAGAACATTAATTGAAGAACTTAGTAAAATAACATATTATGTTATATTTTTAAAACACTTGAGATTTAGGAATATATTATGGTAAAGTATAAGTATGATTTTAAATTATAAGTTATTTGATTCTACTGAAATTCAAATACAGTCGTCCCCACTTAATCGCATATCGGATAACCCGCTTATAAGAATAAAATTTAATGGAACCAAATCATTTTATATGAAACTAATGTTAAACACCCCCGTTTAACATTATTTGCTGTTTTTTGCACCCGCCTAATTTCATAAAGTGGTACTGAAATAATAAAAAAAAAAATTGTTTAATTTTGAGAAATGTTTCAGCAAATGAAATGGAATTTTCCTTTTTTAATTACGATCAGGATACAAAAGGTGGTCATTTCAATAGGGACTTCTTATTTATTAGTAGGTGTTTGGGGAAAAATTAATCAAATCTTGTTGCCAGTTTTATACATTGAAATAAACGAAGGGGGTTTTACCCATCTGACCTACTTCACACACACACACATCATTGAAAAAAGAGATTAAGTGATTTGTCTTGCGGTCAAGACTTGTGGTCCGCACTTGATGCATATTAGCTTTGATATGAAAAAGTTTCAAAAACCTAACACACTAGCATACAGAGTGTCTCTCTTAAACAGAATAATTGCTTAATCCAGTGAATAACTTTGAATTCGTTGACAGTTGTGAGCGAAAAGGAATGATTTAAATTCATCAGAAAAAAGCAAAACAATGAATCTTAGAAACAATAAATTTCAAAAAATCCTTAACTAAATTAGCGAATTAATTTGGAACTTCTCAAGTTTCAAAGATTTTTAAAAAAAGCTTAATGTGTTTGAAAGGAATACGCACATGTCATGAAAATTTTAGTACATAAAAACTAAAAGGGAATGTCTAATTTTGATAAATTGATGAATTAAACGGGTATAAAAAAAACAGTCTTCAATTATAGATTTTTTCGGAAGGGATAAAATAATATTTTGGCACCTACATTATACTTTTCACTAACATTGATTTATTTTTATGTATCTTTACGTGACATTTACATTTTATGATACTAAAGCAAACAGTTTTAATTATAATTGTTTATTGATCATAAAACTGAGTTTATTTAATCAAAATGCTATACTATGCATTAAATGCTATTAAAAAGTAAAATTTCGTGAAAATTCAGAATTTCTGATAGAATATTGCACCTTTTAATCGAATAACCCGCTTAATTGCATAGATTCGGCTGGAACCGATGGTATTCCTTTAAGCGGGGTCGACTGAAATAAGTAAAATAACTTTTTCAATGGAAGCATACATTATGTTGAAAGCTTTTTGATATTTTTATACATTTCAAAGCTGTCAACTGTAATAAGTAAGATAACTTTTTCAATGGAAGCATACATTATGTAGAAAGCTTTTTGATATTTTTATACATTTCAAAGCTAATTTTTAGTTATTATGCTTTTTTCAAAACCTTTCAATAATGAAATTGTTAAAAGTTGAATTATATATAAAGATATTTAAGGCTGAGTTTTTAAATTTTAAGGAAATAAACATTATAGTTAATTTTAGCATTTCAAATGCTTAAAGTAGACTTCATATTTTTTATGTGATATATTAGAGGTTACATCCTCTCATAGGAGAAAAATGATTCTTTCTGAGAAATCTCAGAGACGAGTGCTCTTCTTAGATACATAAATTATGCTATTGATGAAATTTATTTTAGTATACTTTTGATGAGAAAGTTGGTTATAACTAAACCTAATACATATTCAACATATAAACTTTAGTATATGAATTATGTTATGACTAAACTTAATTTATACGTTCTAGTGCAGCAGTTCCCAATTTATACTTTCAATAAAAAACCTGGTTATAACTAAACCTAATGCACAGTCATATAAATTAGTATATGAATTATGTTATTGGTTCAATTTAATTTATATGTTCTATGGCAGCAGTTCCTAATTTTTTTGCTACTGAACTTTAAATAAGTAACTTTCTTTTGGCAACTGGTAATTGTGAAAGTTATAACTTATAAAAGACTATTTTAAAAATACTTAATTAGTAGAATGAAGTTTGCATCATTTTATAATTAATTTTAAATAAGGTTTTATGTTAAATTTGCAGTCTGTGTGCTATTATCTAGTTCCATAAGGATTTTATTTTTGGTGTGCACAAATAAGCTTAAAATGCTTATTAGGAAAACTACATTAAATTATTTTTACTATTAAATACATTATATTACTTTATTAATTTCTTTTTTAAGAAATTAGTTATTTCATTTTGGTTTGAAAACCACAATAGGAAATACTAATGTAATATTTCATAAATGCTTTTTCTTCTCATAATTTATTACATATGCTATAAAAATATGATATATTTTTAAAAAAAAAATGCCACTTCTATTTCATTGGATTTTTACTTGAAATAATTTCATTAAGCCAAATGAAAGATTAAATAAATAAAGAATTATAGGTTGGATTTATATTTAATCAGAGGCTTTTTATTTTATTTCTTATCGGTCGTTGAACAGCCGCACCAATTTTGGGTTTACGACTACTAATGCTCAATTTTGCAGCCTTGTCATTTTGAACCAATCCAGAAGACAAGGAAAGTCCTGAATCAGTACCCCCAGAGGTTTTGATTTGTTATGGGAACATGGAGGACTTTGTGACTCGACAGATTTAACGTGCACCAGTCACTGTTTACTACACGGGGAGTCATTGGCCGGCAGGGATTGATCCTGGTCCAATCAGAGGCTTTGAAATAAAACAAAGATAATAAAAAGTATTAACTCGCAGACCCCTTTAACTCTTCCCTATAGTTTTGTGAAACATTATTTGGGAACTGCTGTTCTAGTGTACTTGTTTCAGTATACCTTCAATGCAAAAGTAAGTTATGACTCAATCTAATATATAACAAGATATATAAAATAATATAATTTTTACCAAGCAACCTTGCATTCTGAAGTTTACAAAACAAGGTATTTAGCCTCTAATGGTGTAATATATTGTTAATAAAGATCTATAATAAACATCAATAGAAGTTTTTTGATGGAAACAAATTTATAGAATTGCTTACATATTTTGATGTCACTTGTCAAGCAATATAACTTTAAGAACAGTTCCAAAAATATAACTGTTACATTAAATAACAGGTATCTCTGAAGTCCATTTTTACTCACAAGTATTTGCAGGTGGTCTAACCCACCCCCCAAAAGCTTTCTCAATCTCTTCCGCAACAGCAACAGTAAGGCGGTCATTGTAATGACCACTTACAACCTGCAGGCCAACAGGAAGGCCATCATGACTCAGTGTCACAGGGCACTGAGTAACAGGCAAGCCTAATAAGTTGAAAACACACGTGTAGGACACATTAAAAGACTTTAAGAGTGGCTGACCATGGTGAAGAGCCAAATCAGATCCGCTCGGATAGATGAATATGCCGTCGTGGCCCAGTAGTTTCTCAAAATGTTGCTCCATATCGTACATCATGGTGTAGTACTTGCTGGCTTTCTTCTCGTCTTTTGGTACCCAAAACTTATTTAGGGCAGCAGACAATAAAACTGGAAATATGTGGTCACATACTCCAATAACCCACTTGAAGAACTCAACAAGGAGGTCGGCTTTGCTTGTTCTGTTGGTCATTTCTACGGGGATCGGCTTGAATCCGGAGGTGGTGATCACTTTAGACCACATTACAAAGCTATGTCGCATGTTAGGGATGTCGACTTTAACCGGTTGTATTCCATAGGTGTCCTTGAAGTACTCAATGACCTAAAAATATAAATAGTAAAGATATAATATACCTGAGAGATATAAAAAGTATATAAAAAATAAGGATTAAATTTATGAATGAAAACACTTTTCATTCATAAATTTTTAATAGTAGCATTTACCATTTACTTAGTAAGGGTACATAGACAAATCTTTCAACATAAAATAAGCAAATTTTATGTAATTTTTAAGCACTCAAAAAATGCTTTTAAGCACTATATACACTAACAAAATGCAAAATAATTTTCAAAGACTTTACATGAACATGATTAAATAACTAGTTTCTGACAAAGAACTCTTTTTATTTTTCGATTATATTAGCTATTATAAAATTATCCAGAGACTTTTTGGTTTGATATCAGAGAGTGGAAAATGAAGCCTGAAATTGAGAATATTTTGCAAAATGCCGCAGTTGCACATGAGAGAGCAAGAATCTCACCGAACCCAGCTCAGTAGACGGACATGCGGACTCCAAAGTATTTCATCAAACATGTAAAATGATTGGCGCTATCTTCGTTACGGCGAAATTAATTGTGGTTGAATAAATTGTAAAAACGTTGAATATAACAATGTAAAAACCATGCTTTTACATAACATGCAGCAAAAATCAATATAGTAGGAAAAAAAAATCTCCTTTTCGAAAAAAGGGAAAAACTAAGCACTTTTAAAAACACCCCATGAAAAAGTACCTTTAAAGGTTTTAAAAAAACGAAAACAAGCGCCTTAAATCACTTTTTAAAACCGTTACACACCATGGTAAAGGTAAAATATATATTTTTGCTTTTTTCTCTGTTTTGCTTTGTTGTTGTTACTTTTATTACAATAAAAGTTTTTTTCTCAGCATTTTTAAGAGTGTTGCATTTTTAAAAGCGTTTCTGACTGTCATTATCTCTCTTAATGTTTTATGGATAATTATTCTTAACATTACAGTTTCGTTTTAAGAATTAAAAAAAAAAAATTATCTCACTTTTTTTTTAACTTGACAATTATAGTTTATTTTAATAACTGTTATTAGTCTATTTTTCATTTATTCTAAACATTTCTAATTATCTTATTATCTTTGTTATCTTAAGCATTTTCACTGAAGTCTCTTTCCCTTTACTTCATTCCAATAACACAACTAAGTTTTGATAACTTTTCAATAACAACTAATGTTATTTATGTATAAAAAAGAATGTTTATCAATGACTTTAAAAAAAAAAAGAGCTTCCTTTTTTTTGTTGCTATTCGACCAATATTTTTGGCCGAATTTTTGGTCTTTGGATAAATCACTACTCGTTACATCCCCAGTAAAAGGAAAAATTTAAATTTATAAATAAAGAAAAAACTTTCTGAGTTAAATTTTTTTTGCTAAGAAAACTGCAACTTATATGCAAAAATTAGTAAAATTTAATCCCATTTTTTATTAAAATTATTTTTGAATTATAGAAAAACAAAAAGGGATAATAAATTTCCCCCTCGGAGTAAATTGCTTCATTTTTTTTAAAAAAACTTGCAACCAAATATCAGGCTTCTTTCCAACATAACAATTATTCATTTGATTGAGTGAGAGAATGTATATAAAAATAAGATATAAGATGTTTGAAAGAGAAACTAATAATAATAATGTGCTGTTGATGATAAAAAATTCTTTAAGAAACTGCAAAAAAAAGCTAATAGAAAAACCAATTTACAGCAAAATGCTAATACAACAAAAATATCATGCAACACTTACAATATTAAAATAAAGAAATAAAAAAATTAAATAAAAAGAAGCATTTATATCACCAACATCTAAGCTTTGCTGATAAAGTACGCATACATATATTAATTCAAAAATTATATAAGTGTATAAAAATTTATTTCATTAAGTGTAAAATTTAACTATATTTCAAAAGTAATCACAGTATAAAACAAGACCTGTTTCTGCTGATTAAAAACAAGATTTCTTAACACATATGCTTCACCATATTAGATTTTCCTACACGGTCAAGTTTTTTTCCTGACCCTGTAGAAAACCTTAACTTTATTTGTATTAAATAAACAGGGGTTTAAGATAGTATGTCAATAGCAATTAAGAAGAAATATTATTACAAAGGAATGAAATAAATTTATTTATATATATTTAAATAAGGCTGAAGGCAAAAAATATCACCTTTCGTTGAGCTTTTATGATCTCTGGATTGACAGCAGAAACAAATGGGTTGCCGCCTTCATTTTCCATATAATATATAGAAATATCTCGAAAATTTACCTATGGAAACAGTGACATTGATCATTATAATTTTACATACAATAACTAATAGAACAACTATGAAAATAATATCACAACTGTAAATATAATCAAGTATAAAGAAATTTCTCAGAAATTTACATATGGAAACAGAAATATTGATAATTGTGAGTATATATAAACAGTAACTAATGCCACAACTATAAAAATAATAAAATCACAACCGTAAATACAATATATAAAAATGTTCCAGAGATTTACCTATGGAAACAGTAATATTGTTGTTGTTTTTTTCTTAAAAAAATCCGTAGTTACTAATAGTAAGTATAAACATTATAAAATCACAAGTATATACACAAATGTATGCACATGTTATATCCATAATTCTATCTGTTTGAGAAAATTTTTTAAAATGTTTCTGTTATAACGGTTTGAGAACCACTAAAATACTTAAAATGCTGATCAATAATAACGTATAACCAGCAGAGCTTTAAAGTTTTCTAATTATTATTTACTGTATAATTTTCAACAAGCAGTGGAATATATAAGGGGCAAATGATCAAAACATTTATTTTATGGATATCAAAACATTTTTTTTTGTTTGTACAAATATTTCCAAATTTGTAAAACAGCTCACATCAAAATTTTTTCGGAAATATACCTACGAAAATATTAATATATAATTTTTTTTGTTTATAGTAACTTATGATGCAACTATAAAAAGAATTTACTACTGTAAACCTAATTATGGAAAAATTAAATTACACAGATTTAGAGAATTAAAGGCAATTATATAAAATAAAAGTACAAAGATAAATATAAATAAGAGAAACATACAATAAAAAGGCTTTTAAAAATTNGACTTCGGTGATCTGCTGGGAACCGTGTCTTAACGATCAGTCCACTACGGGACTAAAACATTTTTTTAATGATTTAATATATTACAAAGATATTAGTTTAGATTTGAAACACAAATATTTCCAAATTTGTAAAACAGCTCACATCAAAATTTTTTTGGAAATATACCTACGAAAATATTAATATATAATTTTTTTTGTTTATAGTAACTTATGATGCAACTATAAAAAGAATTTACTACTGTAAACCTAATTATGGAAAAATTAAATTACACAGATTTAGAGAATTAAAGGCAATTATATAAAATAAAAGTACAAAGATAAATATAAATAAGAGAAACATACAATAAAAAGGCTTTTAAAAATTATATTTATTTTATTTAAACCAGCAGATTTTGCCCATAGCTTAGATAAATGTTTAAATGCAGTTTTCTCAGAGGGATTTATTATTTTTAAATTCTTAATTTTTAATCGAAAAAAAAGAAGATATTTTTGTCATTTATGCATACATATACATACGAAGCTTCAACTACTTTTTTTACATAATTTTTTTATCTAATTCTTCTTTTTAATTTATTATTCAAAATTAAACACTTTCTCACATTTTATTATTTACATCTGCTGCTTTGGTTTCATATTTAAATCTTTAAATTCTAAGGAGATGCTAGAATTAATATTTTAAAATTTCTCTTAACCCAAACCGTGAGAACCATATTATTTCCTTGACCTATTTTATCGACTAATTGTAATCACTCAGGTTGATATAATCGTGTGAGCTGATGAAAAGATTATATCTTTTATTTTCCGAATTTTTATTATTCCCCCCCCCTTTTTCTTTGGAATTTTTTCTCTGGATTTTATTATTTTTAATAATTTTTATTATTAATTTTCTTTTTCCCTTTTTTCATTGTTCTGTAATTTTTTCATGTTTTCTCTTCATTTTGAACTTATTTTATGAGTTCTATTTACTTGCAACTTATGCATAGTAAATAAAACTTATTGTTTTTCTTCATTTTTTTCCTTCCTATTGTCCCGTTTGTATTTATCTATTATGCTACACACGCTTGGAGCTTATATATATACAGTGGAGCATCGTTTATACGACGCCGAAGGGACCACCGAAAAACGTCGTATAACCGATAATGTCGTATAATCGATTTTTACTTCTAAAACTGAAACTAACTCTGTTTTCAGTTAATTTTAATGTTTAACGTGTTGATTTACATAAATTTCTAAATTAGACAAAGCAAAACAAACAAATAACCAAAGAAGAAAAATTGCAGTGAGCAATTTGAATGTATGTTACCTTTAATTATATTTTCTTGCTATTAGTCTCTACAATGCTTTGAATAGCGAGTTGAACTTACTGCTTTCTATGATGCAATTTTAGATTTCTAATCACGGCCAAATCTAATGGCTGAAGCGCACTTGTGCAATTTGCAGGAAAAAAGAGAGCTTTTACATTTTCCAAAATAATTAGTATCGATGGGTGCGCTGGACATTGGTCGATGAATAGCAAAATTTTTCGTTTTTGCCTCTTCATAACATTGTCTAGTTTTTTCAGTCATCTAGTAAAAATTACGGTCGTCATCCAAGCATTCTTGTTGGCACCCTTTTCTGTATCATTCATGTTGGCAAATTCCGCCCTTTTTTAAAATACACAAGAAAAAATAAAAAATTAAATAAACGTGAACAAAATCTAAAAACCGACGTATAACCGATTCTGTGCGTCGTATAAACGATATATTTTTACATTAAAATGAATAGGAATGATTTGGGACCACACTAAAACGTCGTATAAATGTAAACGTCGTATAAGTGATCGTCGTATAAACGATGCTCCACTGTATATATATATATATATATATATAAGCTCCAAGCTAAGTCTTTTAATCCTTTTCTCTAGGCAAAGAATTTTTAAAATGTGCAAGAATAAATTGAATTAGAGCCAATAACAGAGTCAATAAAATAAAACAGTGAAAAATTTCATTATGAAAAATAAAATCAACTTTTCAAATTTCTTTCAATTTTATTTTAAATATTTTTTAAAAAAAAGCATATTTTGCATTTTTTTAAATTGAAAGTTTAAAAAAAATTAAAATTAAGGCAAAATTTGATTAAATCGATGGATTGAGAAAAACAAAGAAAAAAAAAGGATCACTAATGAAAAATATAAAGCAATTTGTAAAAATTTATTTTTAAATTCTTTTATTTATTTAAAAAACATGGAAAAGTAAGAAAATAATTGATTAAAAAATGTGGAAAGAAAAAACAGAAAAAAAGAAGTTTTACGTGAAAAATATCAAATCAACTTTCTAAGCTTTATTCAATGTGAAGGAATATTTTCTAGAAAGAAAATATTAGAATCCAGTATTTAAAAAGTAAGGATATAATTTTTTAAATCTTATCTTACAGACAAAAACAGTCATAAAAAAGAGTTATTAATGAAGAAAACTTAATCAAATGTCTCACTTTTTCATCTAATTTCAATTTGGAAGCAACACCCTTTCCAATAAGAACTTTCATCATAGGTAGTAAGTCAGAAGCATATCGGCACATAGGTCCAGTCATCAAGAAGGTTTGCAATTCAGGAGCAGCCGGAGGGTACTGTCCAGCATTACTCACAATACCTTGAAAAAAAAAGATTTTGATATTAATAACACTTAATACCTTTTTAAAAAATAACACTTAACACTTTTCTTGGAAATAAAATAAAACTAAGTTTTTAAAATCTATCAGAAAGAAATCCTTTCGGAATCAAACAGTTATCCCCACAATGGGATACCTGCAAGTGGCGTAGTGTGTGTATCTTGGGCCCGTTTGGTTGTTAAAACGTGGCTTTGTTTATGTTAGCAACTGTTCTTTCCATTCTATTTAGAGTTAACTTACCCTGTCAAGCATCAATACCACAAGTATACTTCAAACTCAAGTATCATCCTACTTACAGTACAATAGTTCATTAATCAAGTAATATATAATATATTTTTTTTATTTTATTTAAACGACTTAAAACTACTCATGCACCACAAAGTATAGCATGAGGCTTACAGTTGTAAGTAGAAAACAAAAAGAGAAAAATTTACAAATTTACATTAAAAACAAAATTCCGCAAGGCCGCAAGACTTTCAATACTTTTGACCAGTTCTGATAAGACAGGTGGCCAACAAATAGAAAGACGTCTCAAATCAGTCTTTAAATTCATTCGGGCACTCGCATACAGACTACAATGAAGAAGAATATGTTCAGAATATATAATATTGGAGGGGGTTTTGTTTCCCAAAATTACGCCACTGAGGCAAGAGCTACATTATAGCAATTATACAAAGGTAATCAATAATCCTGACTTCAGCTATGCTAAAAAAAGTCAATGACAGGCTAGAAAAAAAGGGTGACTTTAATGAAGAAAAAAAGCATTTTTCAAAAACTGAGATAAATATGAAAGAACCATTTTAATTGATTAAAGAGGTATAACTGAATGTTAGGAACAAAATGGAACAGTAGTCCCGGACTTTTGAAACTTGCTAGTTTGAAGAAACTACTTTGGAACTGCTAAGAACAATAATTTCTAACTACTTTAAATTATTATTATTATCAATATCCCAACTTTTACAACCAAACATATTTTTAATGATATTTTGAACAAATTTGACAGTTTCACGAAAAAAAAAATTACCAGACAAAAATAAAGTTTAGCGCTATTTTTGAATTTTTTTATTCTGAAGCAATTTAGAGCACAGTTGGGATTCTTCGGAACATGAATGAAATATGCATTAAGAGTGCACACAGCTATTTAGGCAAAGTAGTATAAGTGCTCTTAAATAAAAGTAAAAAATAAATTTCAACTTTGAAATTAATTAAAAAAAATGGAGTAGAAAAATATGCTTAATACTAAAGTTAAACTTTACTAACTAGTGCAAAGAATTTATTACGAATTCGTAAAAAAGTATATGTAACTCTTTCTAAGCATATTTAAAATAATTTTACAAGATACCAACTTTCCTACAAAAACTTATATTTCAAAAAGGAAAAAAACAATACATAAAAAAGTATCAATGGGAATACAGAAGTTGAAGGTTAGACTAACAAAACTAATAACAATAAAAATTCTTTAATACTTAATTGAATTAATGAGAAAATATTTGGAGGATCTTTTTGAGGTCTAGGCTATTTTGCATATTTAACACTAATGAAAATTTCAACTTATATTTTTCTGTTTTTGTTATGTTTTTAAGTATTTTTTAAAGAATATTGTGCCTTTATACTGAACAGCTCAATACTGTATTGCAATATATTTTTTGTAGTACAGTAAACCCCCAATTAGTGCAGAAAAGCAATTTTGCAGATAATATGCAAAACATTAAATTTTTTTTCATTTACATTTTTTTTAAAAATTTCTGTATGAAAAAGTCAGTCAACGATCAAAATTTCTGTATGAAAAAGTCAGTCTGTATGGAGAAGTCAGTCAGTTTCTTGGTGTTGAAACAACTATTCTTTATTTAGAATTGCAAATTTTTTAGCAAAATTGTGTCATCAAGTGTCACAACATATTGTATGTATTGAATCAGACATTCAATATGTGCTAAAGCTGTATCACGACTAATTTTTTTCTCAGTCTGATCATCCTTTCCATCATCAAAATCTAAGTAAAATAAGATAATAGAGAGATAGATATATTTGCGAAATAAAATAAATAAATAAAAGGTGACCAGCGCTACCAGTCTAACTTTTATGAGAAGAAAATAATTTTTTATCAGCTTAATATTCTCCTCTCCCGCTACATGCAAAGCCAGAGTTCTGATGACTGACATTATCAGCTTCCTCGCGGTCTGGAAGAGAGGAAAGGACGGCAGAGGAAGACTCTGCATGAAAACTTTGCAGCTCTTTTGTATAAGGTTTTTTTAGTGGAAGGGTTAACTCGATTTACAAAACATTAATTATGAAAAAAAATTTGTGAAGGGTGCAAATAAAAAATAAAATATTTTGTCAATTGCTCATTTTTATAAAAAATTTTTTTTATGTGAAGTGTCCTAATGACCTAAGTGTCCAATGGACCTAAATTTCTTCTAAACCGAAATTGGAAAATTGCTGAAAAAACTGATTCTTCATAATACGATACACTTGTTGCATCAAGTTTTTACTTTTTGTTTCATCAATTTTAATTTAGTAGTTATAAAAACTTAATTTACAGACATTTGATTTAATATACAGTTAATGGGATATTATTTAAATCAAAGGTAAGAATCATACATATAAGATTCATCACTATTCAATTATTTCATTAAATAAACATTTACAATTTGAGGCTGTGAAGCGAAGTATCTGTATAAAAAGGGTACCTCTTGTTGGTTTATGTCCGAATACCCCATTAAAAGCTGCAGGAATACGGATGCTCCCTCCAATGTCATTTCCAACACCGATTACAGATCCAGCAGAACCCAATATGCAGCCTTCACCACCTGCAAATAGGTTTATTAAATATAATAAGATAAATAAATAAAACTCACAAAATGTACATTGAAATCAAATGATGTTTACTAAGATCCAACAATACCTAATTTACATCCCTCATCATCTGTGAATAAGTTTCTAAACATTAAATATCAGCAAAAAAAATAAATAAATAAATATAATCACTCTATAAATAAAAGCAAAATTCTGTCTAAATGTATGTTTGCTAATAATTGGAAAGTAAGAACACCGATTTGGATTATGTAATGTATTGCAGTTTGCAAATTTTCAAGGGGTGGTTTGCAAAACATTTGACATTATGTGGTTTAGGCACAGTATCAAAATTATACAATTTCATTGATGAAATTGCAAATTTTCATTGCTATAGATTAAAATGTATGCTGTCAAGGAAACAGCATTTTTATGAAACATTTAAACAGTAGAATCTGACAGAACCATGAGAAGAAATTAAATACCCTTAAAGCTCGTTAAATTCATGGTTTTAAACAGAGCGTGCAAGATGCAAATAGGTAGGCTAATATAAGTAAAAAAAAATTAAAGAAGTATTATATTTCACTGTCAGTGGTAATGCTGAACATAAAATGTGTGTATTTTTATTTATCCAAACGGCATCTTTATTTTAAGGTCTTTAAATTCATTAAATTCTAACACTTAACATGATTAAAAAGATGTGAACAATTCACAATAAAGAATTGTTCAATCACGAATTGTTTAATCACAAATTTTAAATTCTCTAATTTTGTATAATTTGCCTTTAATGAAAATATCATAAACTTCATAAAAATATTTTGTACTTATCATTTATTGGTATCATGAAACTAAGTTTGCCAACAAGTAGAACAATGCCACAATCTGATTTACAAAGCTACTGATGATACACATAGGTACATTGAATATGACTATTTTGTGAGTATTATAAAGCAATTATTATTGAATATGATATTATTGAGAATGTTGCTAAATTTCATTTGGGTAACAAAAATCTTGGCACCAATGCAAAATTTAGAAAAACATACTTGCCAACATTGGAGAAATAAAATAACAGAGATTTTACTAGTGACATTTTTTAGGCTACTGGTAAAGTTTTACATCATGCATAATCATGCAAGTCAAAAAGATAAATTCAAAATTGGAAATATTGTAAGCACTTACATTTAGCGAGGTAAAAATATGTATATAATCTTAATCCAAAAAAGATTTTTTAAACCATTATTTATAATTACTATTTTATAACCGTTTATAACAGCTGACCCAATTTTTTGGGTTTACGACTCGAAAGATTAAACTCTGTAGCCTTGTACTTTTGAACCATATCCAGAAGACAAAGGAATTCCTGGATCAAGTATTGGGAGAAATTTATTTTCATGGGGGACTTTTTGATGGAACTAACCCATATTTGTGTTACATGGAGAGGAAAACCATGAAAAATTCCTGCGGCCAGTCTGACGGCAAAGGGACTTTTAATCCGCGATCCATCTACCCCTGAGGATATTTTTAATAAAACTATTTTATTTTATATTTTATAACCAGAGTTGAGCAACCGACCCAATTTTGGGTTAATTAAGCTATCAACACTCAACATACTGCAGTACTGGCAATAGTACTATCTGTTGAGGAATAAGAGTGGTATTTTTGCCATCAGAGGATATTTTATCACCAATTTTTTTAAATTTCATTAACAAATATGGAGAAATTTGAAAATACACAGGTAAACAGGAGATAGTCGTAAAAGACAGGAGTCTCGTTAAATAACAAGAGACTTAGCCAATATGGAATAATTGGGAGAATATATTTTTGACAATGCATCTCAGTATTAAAATTTGTATCTTATTAGTCATGGGTGCTAATGTTTATGAGGGTGGCAACTCAAAATAGCAGTTGCTATCATATGTGTCTTATAACAGATAAGTAGAAAAAGAAAAATTAGGTACCAATAGCGGATAGAGGCTGCAAACGTACATAAATTAAATATATCAGTACATACATTTAAGTCTTAGATAAGCTAAATCTAAATTCTCAACATTAAGAAAAGTTTAAAATGGCAGAAATCTTTCTCCTAAGCTTAAAAAGTTAAAGCTGGTTAGCAAGCTAAAATCTATTTTATTTACTAATTAAATGTGTCAAATAAATATGAAGACTGACTTTCAACATAAATACTAATTTTCTTGGTAATGATGTCTTTTAGTTCCTGAACAGTACAATTAAGCTAAAGTATTTTTCTTAAGTTTATTGTTTTCTCTAAAATATATTGTTTACTGTTTTAGATTTGTGTATTCTTTTAACTTAAAAAAAATTATGACAGATATAGTATGTTTTGTTTTGGCTAAAAAAGCTTACAAATGGAATTCATTGGCTTGCATAATTAATAATACCAAATAAGTGCACAGTTTTAATTTGACAACAAAGCTACAAATTTAATTTAATATCAAGCGCCATTGAGATAGTTAGCATATATATCTAACATAGATATATTTTAAGGTTAGCATATATTATGCCAAAACTTTTACTAACAAATTCAATACCAGAATAGAGCACTCTCTTCCAATGAGGTGATCCGGGTTCAAATCCCATCGATTGGTTAACTCAAATTCCGCACTCGGCTTGCACCGGTCACAATGCTGACATAAAATATCGTCAGTGGTAGATGGATCACAGCTTATAATACCTTTGTGGTCATGCTAACTGTGGAAATAAGTAATTTCAAGTTATAAACTTTAATGTTTTAGTCTTTTGCAGATTCGTCTCCAGGATGGAAGTGAAGGGAAGTCAAGTAATCAGTTAATCAATGTGACGTAAAACATTGTGTTCTATAAAAGAATGATCAATTCCTTTCATGATGAATGAACAGCCCGCCCTTCTCTTTAGTCTTTGGCCGATGGCCTGATATCCGTCATAAGATTGAGATTGTAGATGATAATGATTCTTTATATATTTGTTCAACATTACGATTTTTAGATTTAAGTTAAACATTTAAAGTATTAAGAAATGTATTCTCCAGTTTACTTGTGTATTCATCATTTTTAACGTACTCTGCTTTGTGAGTTAAACCCACACTAACTGTGGGAGGTTTCCGTAGTTTCCCACTCCATGTAAGGCAAATGCATCAAAAATACCCCCACAAAAGCAAATTTCTCTCAATAATTGATCCAAGAGTTACCTTGTCTTCTGGATTGGGTTGAGCAAGGCTGTGGAGTTGAACACTGATAGTCATAAACTCAAAACTGGGTCGAATGTTCAACGACAGTTGTATAAAAAAAATTCACCACTGAAATTAACATAATATTAAACCTGCCACTACTTCTTTCAGATAGTCTATAGAGTCAAAAGAACTAGTGCTTAATTTAATAAACCTGAAGAGCGCTGACTTTACGTAAGCGTCATACATCAAAAATGAACAGAATATAAAACTTGCCACTACTTCCTCCAGATGTCCTGGTAGAATCATAAGGATTAGAGCAACAGCCGTAGAGGGTGTTGTACGATTCCCACCATAAGCACAATTCTGGAGTGATGGTAACAGCTATAGGTATAGCACCTGCTTGCTTCAGAAGGGAGACAACTTCTGCATCAAAGCTGGCTCTTATTCCTTTTCTAGCAGCTAATCCAACTGTGTATAGACATCCTATGAAAACAATTATAATTTTTTAATTATCAACAAAAGAAACAACTTTGTAAACAAAAGCTGTCTACTCCCTAGCTCCGTTGCAACCTTGTATGCAACTCAAGGAAACTAAATTATAAATCAAATTTAAAATTAATTATTATTTAGCATTAATTAATAAAAAATAAATAAATATTAATTAGGATTTTAAAGAACTAATTTAATAGTTATATAAGGATTGATGAATAAAATTATGTTTAGTTAGATACGAAATATAAAACTTAATTCGACACATTACCAAACAGTACAGTAAAAGTTATGAGCTCCTGAGAGAAAGTCTGTTGTATCTTTAATATATCTCTTAGGATATGGCAAGAGAAAATTGCAGTTATTTTAAATGGATAAGAGTTAGGCTTGATCACCACAATTATAATACTATGTAAAGATTTTAAAATTTTGCATAAAATAAAAATAAATAATTTTTTTTTTTTAAATAAACAATTCATTAAATGTAAAAATAACTTGGCTTTTAGTACTATATGAAATTTGATTTGTTTTAAATTGTATTTGTCGATTTTAGTTTTGCCCAGTTTCCACAGGAAGAAATAGGTTTCTTTTTCCAAACAAAATACTAATCTTGGTTCATAACCAGAAATTTTTTTTCTCTTTTTTACCTTAGCGCTGTCAACATTTTCATGACAGCACATATACTTTCTACAGAATTTCAAGAATAAAAACATTTTACAAACTTGAAAGCTTATGAGAAAAAATTAAGAACAAAGAAATAAAACTTTTTAGGAACCTTAATTTCTGTAACTAATTAAATATTTAAATAAATTAAATGGATAAATAAAAAAAAACTAAAAATAAAAAATCACACTTTTATGGGTTTGAAAATAGTTTTATTAACTTAAAATTTTAAAAATAATTAATATGAATTCAGTTTAAAATAAAATTAATGCAGGGCTAGCACTAAGCAGGCGTCACCTTTCCAAATGCGATAAAATCATAAATTCAGCAAAACAATTATGTTCTGATGAATGATTTTTCCACCCAAAAACAAAAAATATGTATTCTGCTCAATCCAGAAAAAAAGCATAACCAATTATAATTATATTAAGTACAGTTAATGTAAGTAAGAAGAGAGATTATGTAAACATGAAACATTGCCGTAAAATACAGATTACCTCATTTGTTGCTGGATCACACGATATCACATGGCAAAATTTTTTAAAACAGTTTGTGTTAATAAAATGGATCCTGCAGTAGCAATAAGCATATTATCACCCAAATATTTTTGCAGAAAATATGTTTTCTCGTGACAATAACATAATGTTGCCAAAGGTATATCTCAAATTTTCTGCCCCAGTCTAAGAATTTGTCAAAATTTAACCCCAACCTATTCCTATTTCTTTTCCTTACAGACAATAAAATAACATCTACGTTTTTCATCCTTCCTCCCATTAATTACTCCTCCCCCAACTGGGAAATGACTCCTGATTTGAATTTGAATTTTATAAAATAATTCAATTTAAAATAAATTTGCATTTCAATATGAAGTTTTCTATGAGAAAAAATCAATCATTAAAAATTGAGATTTGCCTTTAGCTAACTTACTAGCTAATAATTTGAAGTCCTTAAGGATAAATTTTTTTAGAAAACTTGAATAAAAACTAGAAAAAATTTTTAACCATAAAAAATCCTCTAGGTACTCCACATTCAAATGTCTTTTGTGTTTCATCAATAATTTTAAAAACTAATTGAACTGATTTTTTAATTGAAACTAAACATGCCTGAAAAATACCTTTAACAGCAATAGCTTCTTTGATGGTGACAGGTACACCCAAAAAGGGCATTTCCAATGCAATTTCTTCCTCTGACTTAAAGTTTTCTTTGAGCATCTCATCTATGCATCTTGCTTCTTCTATGGCTTCAGAAAATCTATCATCAACAATTGCATTAACAATGGGTTGAACTTGCTTTATTCTCTCTATGTAAGCTTTCACAACATCAACACTTCGAATCTACAAAGTAAGATGCATAATTACAAAACAAATAAGGTTTATTATAAAAAAATATGGATAGCCACCAACACTCAGAAAAAAAAATCTCTAACTTTTCCAGACTGATTATATCAAATTTCCCTAATTTCTGTAAATGAATTTTAATATTACTTTTTCAATTATGCATAAAATCTACAACAAAACACTTAAAATTTTTTACACAGAAAAATGGAACGCATTTGTGCCAACTGAAATTTCGGGGAGATTTCTGTATCGTCATCTGTGGCAGAATAATAGCCAAGTCTTGGCAACTTCCTGGCAGCGGCCAGCGAGAAACTGAAAAAAAAAAAAAAAACCCACCACAGAAAGGGACCAACTCGAAATGTACCCACCCCTGGGTAAACATCTACAAGCTTTTTGTTTCTAAAAGTTTTTAAGTTTTATCTTTGTTTTTTATCTTTTTGGCGATTGTAGTTGACACGTCCGATCACAATAACGGAAATATCCTTGAAATTTCCAAGCACTACTCTTGTGTTTTTGTACTTGAAATAAATTTAAATATTTACTGTATACATAAACACACACATTTTGCATCTTATGTTTATCCAATTTTATTGTTCTTTAACTTTTAGTATGTCATTATGCTGTTGTCATGAAAACTTGACAAACTTTTTAGGGCAGTTTTCAGTACATTTAATTTCCTTCAAAAATTAAAAAAAAAAAAATTACAAAGGCTGAACATTAAATAATTAGTATCGAAAATATTTGTATTAAAATTCAGACTTAAGTGCACAGAATACTACTAGATTGCCTTAAGCCTGTGTTTCCCAAAGTGGGGCATGCGTACCCCCAGGGTTACAGAAACAGTTTAGAGGGGGTACGCTTTCTTATGCGAAATATCTTGCAACAAACGAAAATTTCAAAAAATTTTATTTAATAACAAAGCTAACCATGAAAATCTACGATTACGTCTTTTTCTATTAACTATTTTTTGCAGAGTTAACAGTTAATAATTAATGGTGCCAATAGTCAGTTGTGATTTTTAACTTTTGTGCAATTTTTTAATAGTAAAATATACATTCATTTTTTTTTTATTAGTGGTACACAGTGTTAGGAAAAATTTAACAAGGGTACACAAAAGTCATAAGTTTGGCAAACACTGCCTTAAGCTACGTGAAATAGAGTTTTGAAAAATATGACAGCAATTACATCAATATTTTTGTATTGGCACATACTTTAAATGGTTATTAAATTTTATAATGTTGATACAAGGTTGCCACTCAAATCTGAAAAAAAAAATGCCATGTATTTTCCCTGTACGTATTATACATAATATATTAAGAAGAAAAACACAATCACTGCGCTCTTGTATGAGCTGTATTGGGCCAACTGTAGTAGATATGATATCGTTATAATTATATTTAAAATTATAGCTGAAATATCCCATAGTCTGCACTTTGAGTGGTTAGCATTCTTTAAAACACAAAATTCATTGTATTCCTCCAGTTTGTAAAGAAAAACTCAAAATTTTCCACATTTTCCCTGTTATTTTACATGATTTTTAAATTCCTTGAATTTATCAAATTTTCCCCGTTAATTTATATGAATTCCTCATCTATGAGATATTACACAGTCAACTGTTTGCATTAAAATGAATACAGGGTGTAATTTGTGCTATGTGTAATAACGTAAAACATGAATAGAGGACATAGAAAAGTACAAATACTATAAACAGCAGGTTTTTGTTTGAGCTTCTAAGAAAAGTTCTTATTTAAAACTCTGAAACTATACTACGTAAATTATCACTCTTATTTAAGCTTAATTAAATGTTTCGGGAAGATTTCCCAATCCGTAATCTGCTGCAAAAAAATCATCAAGACTTCAAAACTTCTGGACAGCCGCTCACCAGAAACTAAAAAAACATTACGCATGAAAGGGGGGAGGGCGAACTCGTAACTATTCCCTGGCAAACTTCTGTATGCTTTTGTTAAAAGTTTGCAAGTTTAAAATCCATTTGGCGGCTTCGCTGGCGCTATTAGATACAGATATGGAAACATTCCTAGGAATTTATTCGATAAAATTCAGTGAATTGACTTATAATAAGCTGTAAAAATAAAGAATATTTTTTAACACCATGTTACCTCCCGCTTTCGTATTTTTTCAGCCAAAATATGAGCCGGCTCAAGTATAAGTGGATTATTTATAGGTGGTAATCGCTTCTGTTTACCCCGGTAATACCAGCCGAAAACAATGTCAGAAATAAAATCAACAATATAGCGAACTACATGTAGAAATGTCACGATAATCTTCGACAGAAAATTCATTTTTTCAAAAGAGTAAACTGGATTTTGAATTTTTTTTAAAATCTATTTTTAAAGTTACTTATAAATTACATTTTAGCAGTGACAATTTTATAAAGAACGAAAATATTTTAAAATAATTTGTTATATTTAATATAACAATGCGCTTGTTATAGATGATATATAACACAATTGACGCAGTATGTCTAAATAATAGTTAATAAACAAGAACTTTGTTTACAAATTGCTTGTTACTTAACGAACGAATGATTCGAGTGAACGAGCGAATGATTCGAGTGAATGAACGAATTTGAGCGAATGACATAAAAATGTTTTTTCCGTGAGGAACAGTGTCGAAACGCAAACGCATCGAAATATGCATGCAGTTGCTTGGAGGCACCAAACGTGCGTGGTAGCATTGCATAGAGCGAGAATGGCCCTTAAATTGAATGCAATGAAACTCTGTTGGCAAAGGGTTTGTTTTCACTGGATCTTAAGCGGAGTTGACTATATTTGCAACTACAAATTATTTAAGTCCCGCAGTGGACTGATTGTAAAGACACGGTTCCCAGCAGATCACCGAAGTCAAGCATCACTGGCTGCTGCGGTCAGTATGCTGGAGGGTGACTACTTGGTGCAGTCTGCGTAGGGACCGAGGATGTGAGGTATGGGTCCTCGTTAAACTGTTCTACCGTAATGTGCTCGATTTCGCTTGCAGGTCGTCGGGCTACCGAAGCGGGGGTGCCATCCCCTCTACAGAGGATCAAACTTGTGATGGCTTGACTTCGGATCATCCTCAGGGATGTTTCCCAGACCATCGCCAATAGCCCATTGTGCAGCTCTAGTGCGACGTAAATTAACTACAACAACAACAACAAATTATTTAAAAGCATTTTAAGATTGGCCTGTTCCAGACTAATATCATATTTAATAAATAAGTTTAAAAATAAGAGAAATGATCGATATGTTACAGTGAATGACCGCAATCAAGCGAATGTCGATTCTCACCAGGGAATGTCAACAATCACATAGTTGCCAAATAATGTCCGAAATATTTGCTATATCCGATTTGATGTTTGTTCGTTGTTATTATTATATTTATTCGATATTTTAATATCTACTAAGGATAAATTAGGAGAAACAGCAGTGTCCGGAGTACCTGTTGCACTGGGCAGTGGCACTTGACGTTAAAAAACATGTCTGTAGGGCATACCGGGCAAATGTATACCCGGCAGTTGCACTTAGCTAGACCTAGTACAGATTTCGGACATTTACCAAAGCGACTATGTGATTGTCAACATCCACCAAATTCGGTCATTCACAGTAACATATTATAACAGAAAATTCCATAAAACACTCGAACCCATTGCTTCGGGATATACTCTATAAAAATCTCCTACTTTATTTAAACAATAAAATTTTATTATTTTTGTTTATATTGCAAACAACACAAAACTTGAGCTTTTTGTCTTCAGGACTTAAATAAGAATATATATTAAAAAAATTTTTTGTCATTTTTTTCATCGAAGTTTCATAATTCACATAAAATATACTTTTAGAAATTAAGAATTTGATTTCCCTCTGATTGCTCCCTAAATTTGTAAAAATCATGAATAGTTTTTTGTTCTTCTTTAAGATTTTAACCTTTTTTTAAATTTGTAGTTTAATTTTCAGGAAGAAATATTTAAAATATTGATTCGCGCTGAATTGAATCGAAAAATCAAACATTAATAAGTAACAATCTTGAACCAAAAAAAAAAAAACGATAAAATTTTTTGAATTTTTTCTCCATGTTTCCAAATTTTACAGCATTTTCAACTTTCAAAAACAATCTGGCAATTTTTTAAAGTAATTTTTTAATTGACTATGCGTCATCTAATATTTAAAAAACGTATTATTCATTAAAATAGTAAAGCAAAAGTGATTGAAATTTGTTTATATTTTTAGCGAACACAATACTGAATAATTAGAAGAAAGAAAAGAATCATATTTCATAAACATTTATTCACATTCCAAATGACACTACAACAAGTCTTTCATTCAAAACAAAATTTGGAAGCATTAAAGTGCAAATTTCAACATTTTCTGTTAAATATACAAGTGCAAAGGTTGGACAATAAGAAGTTTTAATTATTATTCACAAATGTTGCTTGCTATTTTCATCGAATTTTTGTACACAATTTGCATAAGTAATTTTTTTTTAACAATAATGCTATAGATGGTTGACTTAACGTAAACAGAAGCAAGCTTCCTAAAACCGGAAGAAACTCAGAAAACTTCCGGTGTATCCCTCCGCTTATGTTATGCTTACGAGGTGATGTGTGAACAGACTTTTATACTATTCTTAGCATTCGTCCATGAATACTACGTTAGATATGTACAATGTTTTTTTTCTAACTAAAAGTTGTCCTTCCTCGATTTTAAAGTATAGGAAAACTCAATTTATAAAATTTCTCAATGAAAGTTTTAAAATTTTCCTTCAAACATACGAATTATGTTATGTTTATTCAAATATACTAATTACTGTTATAATAACAATTTTTTTAAGCCATCAATCGTCTTTAGCAACGAGAATAATTTTCTGAAACCTGTAAGTTCTATTTCTATAATTAATTACTTTAAATCTGAAAAACTTATCGCTTTTTTCAATTTTTATTTTTTACTATTTTTTATTTCATTTTATATATATCTCCGTTTCGTTAAATAATAAGAATATTTAGTCTTTGCTACTTTCATGGCATTGCTATTCTAACTTTGGCCACATTTGCGTTCTTTTCTCTTTTAAAAACATAGTTTTTAATCATGTTTTAATAAAATAAGTAATATCAAGTGTTATTTTTAATAAAATAAATAAAATATTAAGTATTATTTATTTGGTGGATTCTCCAGTTTACTAGTGTAACATGATTTATTAGTAAAACTACATGCTTATACACTATTGATTTACAAAATTACATATTCTAAAGCAATGCTACCAGTTTTATACCCAATAATTCAATTTATATTAAAATATAAAAGTAATTAGCTTTACTTTTTCGTGAAATATTATTAGAATATCAAATATTTTAATCAAAGTAAGACAGATTGAGTAATATTTTTAATAAAATACGGATTAAAAAGCAAGCATTATTTTTATTGAAATATGGTATATTTTTAAAGAACGAATGATTTTAAAACAAAAGCATGTAAAAAGAATAAAAAAGATAATTTTTAATTAAAAAGTCTTCCTATAATTTAGAATCAAGTAAAAACAGCCGTTGTAAGTAGGGTTAGAAAAACTACGGCTAACTATAACATCAAAACTCTTGAGAAGTAATTTCTGAATTCGAATTAGTCTAAAAAAAATAAAGGCACAGAAAGGCTCTGCAGAGATCGCAAAATTGTAGAGAAATGAACTAAGCACCATAAACTTTTTAGAATGAATTTTTAAAATTTTTATATCAGTCCGCAATCCAGTTAAGCTTTTAAAATTAGAAATATTAAATTATGTATTAAAATATTTTAACTAAATAATAATTTTTTATGAGATCAAAGTTGGGGTTGACCTAAATTATCACTAACTATCATTTAAAATTAGAAAAAATCAAAAAACTATGTAAAATAAAAGTACATATGCATTATAGTTAGCAACAGCAAAAAAAAAAAAATAATAATAACGATTTGATCTATAAAGATTCAGAATCTCTAAAAGCAAAAAAAATATTTTACTTTAGAAAGAAAGACCCTGTTTTAAAACAATTTGATTTGGCACAAAATTGACTCCCAATTGTTTCCTATTCATTAAAACAAAATAATTTTTTAAAAATAAATGTTCAAATTATTGTTTTGGAATAAACGATTTATAAAATTTGTAAAAGTTTTTAGTTAGAAGAAGGCTTCCATTTTTTGGTTTGGTTCGATCGAACTTTTTGCCCATGCTCAGTTTAAAATAATATTAATATGAGTAGAAAATTTTAAAATTGTTAATATTTGCATTAGTTGAAGAATAAAATTTCAAAATTTTGCCGCAAGCAATTTTAAGAAAAATATTATAGGTAAGTATGAAATTCAATTTTTTTTTGTCAGAACATAACCAAGCATAAGTACTAAAAAAATAAATAAAATATTCAATTACGTATCCACAATTATTCTGAATCTATACTTAAATACTTTTGAATTTTTTTTTCATTAATTGATATAAAAGAATGAGGATAAAGTTAAATAATAATTCAGGGTTATACGCTGACTATACTTATAAAAACACTACTTAAATACAAAATCGCTTGCATTCTTTCTAACTCTTTTATTTCCTTTATTTCGCAGCAATACAAATGTTATAAAAAGGTTAATTTAAACGGTCTTTACCTTTCTAAACATAATTGAAAGGATTATTATGCAACTACAACATCAAAATACAAAATAATACAACTCATAAAACCCTCCTATGATGAAATATTCTGTAAAATAAAATTTCAAAATTTCTCATTAGTAAGTGTAGAGGTAGACATTACATTATTTATCATGACATTCTTTCCATATACATGACATGTTTATCAAAGGTGCAATAAATTCAGAATAGGATTTATTCAACAAAAAAACTGTGTAACAAAAAAGTTGCAGGCGCAGTTCTTAAAGGGTAACAAAAAGTGCATCTTATTTTCTAAAGTCTAAATAACTCTGAGTATGCTTAATTTAACACAGAAGCTGTCATATAAATTTTAACAATAATTGTAAAATTTCTGAAAGATAAAGGAAAGCGTTCCTTTTTCTTAGATGTTAGAAATCCTGATAGTAATTATATAATCACTCGTATTTTTTCGACGAATTTTAAAGAAAAATTGAATACATTTTTAAATAATGCAAATCGCTCATATTTTTAATATGTATAAAGCAATTCTGAATATGATTTAATCAACTTATTAATTCTCATATAAATCATTAACAAGTTATAATAATAATATTTAAAAGAGAAATAAAGCGTGGCAAATGTTTCACAACACAGAAAAGATATAAATATAATTTGCGCTACACAAAAGCTTCGANTCTTAAAAGGTAACAAAAAGTGTTTCTTATTTTCAAAAGTCTAAAACACTCTGAGTATGCTTAATTCAACACAGAAGCTGTCATATAAATTTTAATAATAATTGCAAAATTTCTACAAGATAAAGCAAAGCGTTCCTTTTTTTAGATGTTAGAAATCCTGAAAGTGTATTTTTCGTAGCACTTTCGCAGCACGTAGCATTTTCGTACCACTCGTATTTTTTCGACGAATTTAAAAAAAAAATTGAATGCATTTTTAAATAATGCAAAACGCTCATATTTTTAATGTGTATAAAGTAATTCTGAATATGATTTAATCAACTTATTAATTCTCATATAAATCATTAACAAGTTATAATAATAATATTTAAAAGAGAAATAAAGCGTGGCAAATGTTTCACAACACAGAAAAGATATAAATATAATTTGCGCTACACAAAAGCTTCGAATAAAACTTAAAAATTGCATTGATAAATTTTAAAGATAACGCCAAACAAGGCATATTTTTTTAAGATGTAAGAAATTTTGAATAAGATTTATACAACAATCGAACTGTCATAAGTTTACCACAAACTTTTAAAAATTAAAACAAAGGGTACATATTTTTTACAGGCGTTAGAAATTTTAAATATAAACTGTACAGCACACGAACTGCCCTATAAACCTTAACAAAAAAGATTTATAGATAGTTTTTTTTTAAAAGGAAGCACAAAGCGTTGCATATTTTTTAAAGGTATAAAAAGTTTTGACATTGGTTTATTCAGCACACAACCTATCGTATTGTACAAAAAAATGTATTATTGTTTAAAGGATTAAGAGAAGCGTACCATTTTTCTTATAGAGCTAAGAAATTACGAATACGATTTATACAAGACGATTCATACAGGACACAAATTATTAAACAAATTGTAACGAAAAAGAATTGTATAAATAATTTTTGAAAGATAAAACAAAGTGTAACATATTCTTCGTTGGAGCAATATTTATATTCGTATAGTTTAGTGAAAAGATACCCTAGTTTCCAAAGATCGATTATATAGCGGTTTTTAATGAAAAAAAAAAAAAATCAATACCAGCTGCCTATTACATAAGGGTTATTATGTCTGTTACTGCGAGGGCGGCGGTGGAGGGGGCGGCGGAGGTGGTGGAGGAGGAGGGGGTGGTGGCGGTTGAGCAGCTTGGGGCTGTTGCTGTGGTGTTTGGGGCAGCTGTTGTTGTGGAGGCTGAGCTTGGGGTTGTGGAGCTACTGATGCAGTATGCTGTTGTTGTCGGGGATGAGCTGGAGGCCTCTTGTTAGCAGGTCTAGGAAATGACGAGGGCCGTTCACGATAATTCTATAAAAGTAATTATACAAAACGAGTATAATTTAATATTTAAAATAGTCTACATGTTTTAAGTCATAATAAAATAGTGAATTTTTTTGAAATTTTATTTCTTACATAGAAACTATTCAACTTGAAAATAACTGTACGAAAATTGTTTAATTATTTGGGAAAGTTGTGAAATTTAGAGGCACAATGCGAAATCCAAATAGAATCAAAATGTAAAATGATATATAATATTTCAATTTTATTTTCTAAAGACATATGTTGAATGTAGATATGCAGATTTTATAATAATGCAAGCAACTTAACACTTTTTTCCTAATAATTGCAAAAATACTGCTTAAATTTTTTTCTTTTATTTTTACTGCTTTTTTTAATTTTTTGCGTAATTTGGGTAATAATAAAGCCAAACAAAAGTATTTGTTTCATACTAAAATGGATAATTTTAAACTATTTATTTGTAACAGATAAAATCTAAAATTTGAACAAAATTATCCGCATAGTTTAGAGTAAAATTTGAAAAAATGCCTTATTTTAAATTTTGATTTCGCAAAATCAGAACAAATTTAGAAAAAAATGTTAAAAATTTTTATTATCTTGCAGCTCAAAAACTTTTCAACAGCTAAAAAAAACTTATCTTAAAAAAGTAATCTTTTGCATAAAATTATCTTTGAATAAATGACTTACTCAAAGATGATAAAAAATGATAAAAAATATTTTACACAGAATTTTGGTGTAAAATATTTTTTATTCCCTTAAACTGTTACAGATATATTGTGAAAAAGTGAAAAGGTGAAATAATTATTCAGGGGCCCAAACGATTTTCTGACTATAGATTACAGAGACCACATCTTCTAGATCGCGGTTGCCTTCCATAGTTTAATGGTCTGAAACTTTAAAACGTGAAGAAAAATAAATTCGATAAAAGTACTGCTTTCGTAACTTAAAATATCACTTGCATAGATTAATTAGTTTATTAACTTGTGAAAAAGTGGTTTCGTAGTTATCTAGTTTCTCAACGAAATTGCGTCTTATAAGTTAATATTTGCTTATTGGATCAAAAGTTAAACAGATATGTCAGCTTTTATGCGTTATGTAGAATTTACATCAAAATAATAATCTCTATGAGTTTGGGGTTTAATTTGAATAAGCACCATTAAAAAGGAATGCTAGTTAATGAAGTTAATGGGCTAAGAAGAAAAAAAACATTATACGTTTCAATCACCGTTAAGGGAATATTTCTGGCATAAATAAGTATTGCCAAGTATTTAATAAGATTTATAGTGACCGACCTACCCCCTGAAGAGTTTTCGGATAAGGGTTTGAACCGTTGCCACGTAAGAACTAAGCACTACAAAATTACAGTGAAGTAAAATTGAAACTAATACAGATTGATTCACTTTAGAAAGTATCAAAATATCGATGACGTGTAAATTTAAAACAATAAATCAAGTACTTTAAACCATGTAGGAAAGTAAAAAATACGAAATAGATAAATGAACGCAAAATGTGTCCGTGCAAGAACAAATAGTTCAGCATCCCTAATGAGATTTATAAAATTTAGAATAAATCATAATAATTCCAAAAGGGATTTATAATTAAAGCCACTTTATTTAATTTTATAACCGTCGTTGAACAGCCGACCCAATTTTATGGGTTTACGACTACTAATGTTCAACTCCTTAGCCTTGTCATTTTGAACTCAATCCAGAAGACAAGGGTTAGTTAGTTATAGTTAATTTACTTCGCACTAGAGCTGCACGATGAGCTATTGGCGACGGTAGCTATCGGTAGATTTCGATAGAGCTAACCCGCATTTGAGTTACATGGAGAGGAAGACCACGAGAACCTCCCATGGTTAGCCTGACCGGAAGGGGATTCTAACCCATGATCCGTCTACCACTGAGGATATTTCACGTCAGCACTGTGTTCGATGCAAGCCGGATGCGGAATTCGTATCGACTGGGATTCGAGCCCGGTTCGCCTCATTGGAAGACGAACGCTCTATCCCCTGAGCCTTCGCGGCTCCATAGATGAAGGTTGATATGATTGATAACTACTATCCCCACACTTTCTTTTATTCAACAGCAAAAGTTAAAATTAAAAAATGATAATGAAGCAACGACGATAACCATTGAGAAATTTTTCAAACTTTAAAATGTTTTAATGCTATAAGGAATAGCAAGAAAGTGAATTAATACTATATTTCTGCACAGAAATAATTTGTTGACAGAGTAAAGTTTGATAGCTATTATCAAAATAATGTCGAACATTCTAACCCGGTTCGTCTCAAAGTGTATGGCTATGACAATAGAGGTCACCAATGACCAAAAGTTCTCCATGGGAGGGAAATTCCCGGAACAGCAACCAGTTCAAGTTTTCATCTCAAAATAAAAGATCAAAAGGATCACGAAGAGAACCAGAATTCATAAAAACAAGTCAAAAGCACGTAAAACATCTAAAGGAGTAAAATTGACCAAAAATAAAAGAGTCAAAAATACAGTTAAAAAACGTATAAAGAGTTCATGTTTTGAACCAATGGTATTGCCAAGTATTTGAAACTTTGAGGTGCCTTTCATTGAATGAAATAAAAAAAATTAACGATAAAATATTTGTTGCAGGAAATATAAAGGATGTTTCGTAATCAATTAATTTCATATCTGATTAGAGTTCTTTCAAAAGAGTTGAGGATCGATAATTAATTTTGAAGTGGGGAAGAAAGAAAAGCGATATCTAAGTCTATGAATAATCTATACCATTCCCTATAACGTAAATAAAAATCTTTTTCCGGATGAAACTTGGGATGTGTTTAGTATTCACTGTTAGAATTTTCTTCTAAAATTATGATAAAATAACCGACAGCAGTCTGTCCATCCAATTAACCGTAAAGTTTACGGTAAAGAACTTTTACCATTACGGTTTGTTGATCGTTTACAACTAGCATGGTTATAACGCCATGAATACAAAGCGACATGTTTTTTTTAAACCATTTACAAAAAGCATGGTTTCAAAATCGTAAAAAAGGAACTTAACTGGATATTGGCCATTGTTTAGAAGCTTTATGATGTGAATGAGAGTATCGCCTTATAATAGCTTAGAGTCATAAATCAGAGAGTGCAGGATGTTGAATAAATGCAGGATGAGTTGAAGGGAATGAAAAAAATTTTGTGTCAATAATGGGACTCGAACCCCCGTTCTGTCGGTCGGGAAATTGTCAGATTAGCACTGTCGGCTGTAAAACGTACGCATCTGCAAGGAACTAAGAAGCTTCATTAGGTGGGATAGATTGGCGAGCAAAAGTTCTGGTTGTTTAACCGTATTAGGATAAAGCAGTAAATAAACGCTTTTTCTCACAAGTGACATTTTGAATACCATCTTACATATGGTTATCTCACTGTTTAGTTTGAATCTGGTACGAAACCAATTAAATAAATTGTTATTTAACTATTTTTTTCAGAACTTTCTAAGAGTGTAATTGCTTTTCAACTGATATAAATTTTTTTCTTCCTGCAATCAAATAGGTTTTTCATCTCGATTTCTTTAACTATAAATTCAGAGAATTTGATAGCATTATTGGTTTTTCCTCTCTTAAATATTAAATTTTGTCTCTTAGTATGTATATATTTTTGACAATCTTTTCGATAAGCGTTGTAAAAATACATATATGAGAAGCATTTTTGTATCTAATTTTATTTTGTTCTATATCCGTCGTTTAACAGCCGACCCAATTGTTTGGGTTTACGACTACTAATGTTCAAATCCGTAGCTTTGTAATTTTGATCAAATGTTATCAAAATCTAGCGGATAACTATTGAGGAAGGTAGAACTGAAAATATTACAATTAGTTTGATTGCAAAAAAAAAAAAAATCTTCGAAAGTATTTTTAACATTAATCACCTTTATTGTACTCTCAATTTTATCAGACAATTAACCAGGTTTAAAGCTTTCTTAGCAAATTATTACAATTAGTTTGATTGCAAAAAAAAAAAAAATCTTTGAAAGTATTTTTAACATTAATCACCTTTCTTCTACTCTCAATTTTATCAGACAATTAAACAGGTTTAAAGCTTTCTTAGCAAATTATGTATGCAGTTTCGAATTTACATTTCTGTTTTCACTTTCTGTTTGTAAATATTAAAATGCAATCAAAAATGTGTATAGATTATTATACTATACTTTAATAGAATATTATACTTTTTACTACTCTTGGTAAAGATTTCTCTGAAACAATATTAAGGGCGTAATACCCAGTAATTGCGCATAGACAAGTGTCTATATTTGAGGTTTCAGTATAAAAAAATCAGTTCATTTTATAAAAAAATGAATAAACAATAAAGACAATAATACAAATAAATTATAATAAATTTAATTGTTCTATACACGATGCATTATACAAAAAATAAATAACACAAATCATAAATACATAATCCATTTTATGAAACAAAATAGAGAATTTTGATTCAGAAATTAAAAAAACAAAAACAGAAATCATAAATATAACAAAATAAACTTTAACGTAAAATATAACATAAATTAGTACTTATAACACTTAGTACTTATACACTATTTTATATGTTATTTAGGATATGCATGTTAAATAACACATAATATAACAAATACTAACTTAATAACTCAACAAAACTTATTAGTACTTACACACTATCTTATGTGCTATTTAAGATATAAATATTAAATAATATAACAAATACTAGCATAATAACTCAACAAAAACTAGCAGAATATTAACAAATATTATCTTTTATTCATGTAAAATTCTTGTAAATAGATTCGAATACTTACTTTTATATTTGTTAAAACTCAATTTTATGGTACATTTACGAATAATTAATAATGTTACTTTCGCAAAATTTTAACAAACATTGTGCATAAAACTATTGTATATATATTTGAATGTCTGGACCTTTATATTGTATATTAAAAGAAATTAAAATATGAACATTTATTGAAATCTAGGATGTGATTTTAAAAAATAATAGTTCCAATTTCAACCTAAATATTTTTTACGGTTGCTTAAATTTTTTTTTTGCGAGTTTTGATTTTAATAAACTTTTAAGACATTGAATTATTTACAGAATTATTACATTAATTATTTACAGCACTATAAGATTCTGTGTAAAATCTTAATCATCAGGTGATAACTATACAGTATTATTGTTTTTACGTGACTGAAACCAGTTTGCACTTGTTTACGTTCGTGTATCAATTGGTTAAATTAGACGATATATATTATAAATTCGACGATATATTATATAAATATGGAATATTTATTATATCAGGTATATTAGTATATTATAATAATTAGACTAAATATATTAGACGCACTGTGGTGTTTTAATAATTGCATGTTTTGCACAAATTCATATGCAATACTTTTATATTTAAACATATTTATTCAGGAGATTTTTTATACATTGTATTTATTTTTAACCCATTTTTATTTATTTTTAACGCATTGCATTACAATGTTAACCAATTGATACGTGACCGTAAACAAGTACAAACCGGTTTCATCCGAGTAAAAACAATACAGCCGTATAGTATCACGTGATAATTAAGATTTTGCATAGAATCTTATAGTGCGCCGATTAATTTGTCCAGAGACTGTACATGAATCTTTTTCAGCTAAATAAAATGCTTTTCCAAAGCAAAAAACCTTGTACACTTAATGTGTAATCAGGCAAAAAAGTTACATGAAAAAAAAACCCTTTGTATCGAAGAAGGTAATTTGATTTTCGAGATTTTTATCAAACTATTCTGAGTTTATTATTCGATTATCTCCAAACAACGCAGAGTGTTCTCATTCTATATCTTAGTGACATACTCTCTTCGTACAGTGAAACCTGTGTAAATTGACCACTTGCATTGCATAGCTTTAGAGGGCAACTTAGACAGGTGGTCAACCGAGAAACTTATTGAGGGCGAGTCATTATTTCTTTATTTTGTGTTATTTTTACACATATCAAAACAATGTTATTATATACAGTCCCTTTAAAAATTATCAGACGCACTATAAGATTCTATTTAAAATCTTAATTATCGTTTGATACTTTACAGCATTGTTTTTACGCGGCTGAAACCGGTTTACACTTGTTTATGTTCATGTATTAATTGGTTAACATTGTCATGCAATGCGTTAAAAATAAATACAAATAGGAAGTATATAAAAAATTTCCCGAATAAAAGCCCATTACACGTATGTTTAAATACAGAAGTATTACGTATAAACTCGTGCAAAACATGCAATTATTAAAACACTACAGTGAGTATAACAATTTGGTTTAATTATTAGAATATAATATAACACCTGATATAATAAATATTCTTTATTTATATAATATAATGCCTAATTTATCCAATCGTTCGAATTTATATAATGTATCGTCTGATTTTACCAATTGTTCCACGAACGTAAACAAATGCAAATCGGTTACAGTTACCTAAATACAAAATTGTACAGTATCAATAAAGATTTTACATAGAATTTTATAATGAGTCTGAGAATTTTATAATGAGTTTTCTGAGATGGCCAATTCACGAATGGATTTAAGTTAGCTCGTAATATTATTTCACCTATTCAGTGCAATTCTTGTGCATAATATAATAGTCAATAAAGTTACCTAGAAATTTTTTTTTTCTTGTTGTTTATCTATGTAGGGTTTAGAATAGTATTTAATAACACTCCTAGATAAATTTGACGGCGGTCAACATACAGAACAAACAGATGGTCAGGTTTCAAAGATTTTGTTCAGTTTTAAGGCTACAGTGAACTCGTGAAAATCGATTTTCTAATTTTGACCATTTCATAATTATTTAATGATATAAAAAAGCACATTAGTTATTAAAATCATAAGAATTTATAAAACATTTGACAATATTAATGTTATTTACCTTTTTCATTACAAAAACTTATTACTGCGAGTGTTTTGTGTACTGTTTCTCAAAAAAAAAATTTGCATCGAACTGGGAATTGAAATAATTGCATGCACTGTAATTTTTGATGACTATTTCATGAATTTTTTTGACACACTCTCTAGATCAATAAAAAAAAACTTGTAGAGAAACAATTTCGAAATAAGGTGCCACAATATATTTTAAAGTCATTTCAATGTTCCAAAACGTTCATAGAGGGACGATTTTCGTGCTTTTTTGTTGTTGCCGAAACTTGCTTTTTCTACTCTGTATGGAAATTAGTAGAAAAATGCGTAAATTTTTTCCCTACAATTTGAAGAGAAATGTAATTAAAATTGAAATTAACAAATAATCTTTAAATTTAAGGAAACATTCAGCTCAAGGAGCTTATTTAAACTTTAAAATAAATCGAAAATTTTCTTCGAAAAATTTAAATTTTTCATGTTATAGCATTGAGTATCAAATTATATTTTTATGTTCTCTCTGTAAATATAAACAATCCCTGCAAGTTACTCAATGTAAGATTATTTAAGAAAAATCTATTAAGAGTCCACTGTAGCCTTAATAATGATTGCGGTTCTATGTAAAAGGGTTCAACTTGACACTGTTGTTGGAAAATGTTCGAACACTAACAGATGGGTCTACTCTTCTTTCGACCCAATGTTTGAGACAAAGCATCGTATTTGTTATATACCTGTCCGTAAGGCCCCTTGACCTCAATGGGTCCACCATAGAGGTCATCCTGGTCTATCCTAGAGGGTATGGAGGCGTAGGAAGCTAGACTGACAGCCGGTGTTCCAGGTTCCCCTTGACTGAAAGGCCTGCCTTTATCTACGCTATCATATCGCTGAGCAGCTGCTGCATAGATATATTGAGACTGACCAGCTAAAGCTGAAAGAAAAAGAATAATTCTTAAGCTTTCATCTACAAAATTACAATTTCAATTCACTAGTATGCAAGACAAGTTAACTCGATTCTACGAGGGGGAACCTTTTCATAGATGAAGGTTGACATTGTCGAAAACCACTCTCCCTACATTGGTGACCCGGACGGGCTGTGAACATGCCTACCTTAACGGAAACTCTCACGTCGATTTGAACACGTCTATTCCGATGAATGGTCCAAATTGAGCAGTTGACTTGCGACTGCGACATTATTCACCTCCTCGATCAGGCGCTACTCAGTATCGATCGCACTCAACGCATTCATTCGAGTGCTAAAGGCAACACAGGAGCAACCACGACCGGGAACTTAATACAGCTCTCACGATGAGCACTCAAAAGTACGGTGATCTTAATACTGTTCTCCCGGTTTCTCACAAAACAGCAATGTATCAACGAGTGGTATCCGTTCTTCAAATTCTATCACAGCTATAATTCAGATGGGAGAGTACTGTAGTGCGTTTACCACTACAAAATTACAATTCTAATTCACTAGTATAGAAGACAAGTTGACTCGATTCTATGAGGGCGTACCTTTTCATAGATGAAGGTTGACATTGCCGATAACTTTGTTACCAACTACCATCTTCCAAATGTTTTTGAAATTAAATGCATGGGTGAACATGATGGCTTAGCGCCAAAATTATCAGCCGGTTAATTGTTGACATCGGCAGCCTCTATGCCACGAGCTTAGCAACCAAAATTGTTGCTTTGTTTACTTTCGCTGAACATCATAGAATAGTTACGATATATGAGTTTGTGATTGGCTGATAACAATAATTTGCCGAAAAAAAATTCGATCATAAAGTTTTCTGCGTAGAATTAACAGTGTGCAAAGACAATGTATCTTTTTTTCCCGAGATATTTCGGAGTAATTCAGAAGTATTTCTAAACATTTCTTGAAATGTACTGTTTCCGTGGAATTGTGAAAAATCTACACATAGCTTGGCGAATTTGTGAAAAATCACAAAATATTGTGGGCTGTGCGAGATCTTGTTTTTCCGAAAAATCTCTTTATAATTTTTCTGAATCTTAAACTAGCATAACTTTCTGTCAAGGTTCTGTTTTCGCGAACATTTACAAATAAAGACTGTTTTATGAAAAAAAGACGCAAAACTAAATCTTTCAATGAGTTGTGAGTTTAAAATTATGATTTAATGGCATTGTGGGAAGTGACAATGTCAACCTTCAAAAGATACCCCAAGATTGAATCGAGTTAGCATTTCTTATAGAATAGTGAATTGATGTTTATTAATCGTGGTGGTAGTTACGCCACAATACTCCCCCCACCAAAATTTCATTAGGGATAGAATTCGCTACATAGCTACTACAAATTACCGTATTTGCGAGAGACCGAGAGAGCTGTGTTAAGTTCACCGGATGTGGAGTACTTGTGGTGAGAACTGTATCAAGTTCACCGAGTTTTGAGTGTTTCTCGTGAGAGTTGTATTAAGTGCGTGTGTGGTGTCTCCTGTGTTGTTATTAGCAGTTGAGTATGTGCAGGATCCCGTTGTTGTCTGTGAGCCGTGTTTCTTTACTAAACTATAGTTTGAAGTAGTTTACAGAAATCGCTAAAAACTACAGTTCTTTTTTGTTTCGCATTACTTACTATACTACTTTTTTTTTTTTTTTAAAGTAGCGACTACAGTAGTTTCTCTACTTGTAGTGCCTCACTTCCGATTACAGTTTGATATTGACGCCTAGTTAGAATTCGAGATAAACTTCGCCAAGTGAACCGAGTTCGCTACCATTCTCCTTCTTAACCGATTCCCTCCGCTGTAGATCAAAATTGTGATGGCATGTCTTTAGATCATTCTCAGGGATGTTTCCCAGACCGTCGCCAATAGCCCATTGTGCAGTTCTAGTGCGACGTAAATGAACAAATCAATCAAACCTTCTTAACTGTACATTTTTAAAGTGGTTTGTCGTAATTCAATCAAGCTAGAAGAATCCTCTAAGTGATGGAAGATATTAATGATGATAGAAGAATGACAGTCACGACGTTAGAGTAAACCTAAGCTCGGATACGACAAGATGGAATGGAAAACAAAAATTATAAATACCGAATTTGACTGAATTTCATAAAATAATTTACCCTTTCCGAAAATGAAATATGTAAGCCTTATTCAAGTTGCACGGAGACGAAAACTTTTTGTGCCTTTGCCCGCGGTAAGAAATCGTGAGCCCAACTTTAATAAATGATTTCAACGAATTGTCTTAAATGTCAATTGAACATACCTTTAATTTGATCTTTGACTAAATCTTCTCTAGATCTAGATTTGATGACGTAAACTATAACAACTATGATAACAACGATGACTGCAAACAAAGCAGCGGCGGCAGGCACTAGGATTTGAAGATCCAAATACATTGGAAAATCTTTCGAACCTGAAAATAAGAAAAAAAGATAATTTTTAAGAAAACAGTAATTTAATTCATTTCTTGTTTAGCACTAAACATACCAACACTTGGTGTATACCTATTTTTACCATAACCGGTCGAATGGCCGGACTTTATGTTTCTTGATTGAATGTATGAAATATGAATGTTAGGAAGGAAATAAACTAGAAAAAAAATTTATTATAATTAAACATAACTTTATACTGCCCATTTTTTTGTAGTACAAACACAAAGAATAAGAATTTTAATTAATTGCTTAACGCATTTTTATATATACAGGGTACTTCCATTGCACATTTTCCCCAAACATATTTCTTCTAATTATTATCATTTCTATTATTCTTATAATTATTCTGATAATGAATATTATTTCTTCTAAGAACTTGCGTTGTTTTGAGAGTTTCGACATTTTTCTGTGTCAAAACTAACAGTTAGTTAGAAATGAAGTAAAGCTATCAAAATAAAACATAAACTACTTACCGAAACACTTGGTTTCTGTGACTTTTTCTTGCACAAAAATGCCAATGTAAAAGTTGTGGTACTTTCTTGAAATGTGAATTCACAGTTATTCTGATTGAACTCACTACGCAACTGTCTTTGCAGAAATGTGCAACTATATAAATCGAACGCAATGCGTTGAACACGCATTATATCGTCATTTCTGATCTGATAAACTTATAAAGCAATAAATTGTTCTTCCGGTCAAATGACCGGTTGTGGTAGAAATAGATATACGACAAGTATTATTCGAAACAAACAAAATATAATAGAATATTAACTGCATATTATTGTTAAAAAAAGTTATGTGTGCAAAAACGATAAGATGATAAGCGCATTTTTGATTCAAAAGTTCTTAAACGGTCATTTGATCGGTTAAGGTATGTTTAGTGTTAACAACATATATTTATTTTTAAATATTTAAGATTAAAAGTGTGTGCGCAATTAAATATGTTATAAAGAATAATATTGGAAGAGACATTTCGCTTTTCTGTCCTGCACGTCAATATATTCCTGCTTCTTACTGAAATGTTCTACAGCGTGAAAAATGTGATTTACCAAAACCATGGAAAGAGGGCTGGGATAGCCTGGTTGGCAGGGCGTTGGGCCCACGTCCAAGAGGTCATGGGTTCGATCCAAGCCGGTGACTGATGCAAGTTAAATCTGTCGAGCCGCAAAGTCCTCCATGTTTCCATAACAAATCATGCATCTGGGGGTACTGATCCTGGAGTCTCCTTGTCTTCTGGGTTGGTTCAAAATTACAAGGTTACGGAGATATATATTAGTAGTTGTAAACCCAAAATTGGGTCTGCAGTTCAATGGCGGTTATAAAATAAAATGAAAACCATGGAAAGAGAATGGAGAAATCACGTGACCCTGAGAAAAATTGATACGCATCTCAATGTTACTCAATTTCCCCAATTTCTATGTTTTTCCTCTCTTCTTTACTATGGTTGCGGCACCAATCTTGCTTTGTTTTCACAGCAGTTCGACTTAACTGCATCGGAGAAAAAGCAAATTTGTCAAAACTACGATAATGGAGAGAGTAAACATATGTAGAGTGAGAGGCGACGTAATATTGAGACGCCCATTCAATTTACAAAGAGTACAGTTGTAAAGATTAATTGTGAATATTTAAATTCTCTCGGATTTCCTGAAATAAAATTGGCTAGAATTTTAAATTCCATTTAGATAAAGGTCAGAATGTTTAGAAACTGGATAAAAGCTTGTTTACAATTTACAATAAATAAATAAAAATTGCCAAAAAAATTAGTTTGGTAATTTTTTTTTCTGAATTGGAGTTCATAAAAATTGAAATAATGGTTAAAATTTATAAAAATTGGTAGAAAATTAGCCTTATTAAAAGTTTTTATTACTCTTGCTGTATACATTTCCGTATTTCTTGGAAATTTCATTTAATAAAACTATTTTAAAGAATCTATATACAATTCTAATTGTCCACTTTTGGAGACGAAACAGTTCTTTATTTTACCATGAAAGAAGAATACTAAATAAAAAAGTAAGAAAATGATAAAAATGGAAGTAGCACAAAAATGCATGATATTTCCCTACATAAGCAATTAGGTAATTTGGAGTCTGATAATATTAAAGTATCACAAAGACTAACTAATTCAGTTCCCTTTCTGAAACGCTTAAACTATAGGGTAAAATTAGGAAATTGGCCACACTTGGAATTTTAAGAGCGACCTCTTTTTAAAACACATGGCAAATTTTTCAAAAAATGAAAGTTTTAGTAAATGGGATTCCTGCTAGTGGTGTGGGTATCTTGGTCCTGATTGGCTATTGAAACGCTGCTTTGTTAACGTTAGTAACTGTTCTTTCGATTCTATTTCGAGTAACTTGACCCCATCAAGTATCAGTTCTCTTAAGTGATACATTCTATATTTTTTTCACAGAGATTTTAATTTTTTTACAATATATTTTTCACTTAACAGAAAGACAAGCACAGAGCTATGTTGAGAAAAACTAATTATGAATGGAAGTTGCCAGGTATACAAAACATAAATAAATCATGGTTACCATAAAATACATAAACAAATAATAAATCTAAGTTAAGTAAAATCCGTAGACGAGAAAGAATTATATTTCAACAAATTCGAAGTGCGATACGGAGCTGTATTCAATTAACTTAACGTTAACTAACATTCTACCTTATGTGGAGAAACTTTGCTCGACTTTACCAAGCTATTTTGCTTATAAACGATCAGCTGCCTTTAACGTCGCAGGTCAACAATGTGGGTATGAGCTATCTTCTTCTTGAAGTGCAAGTACTCAATTAAAAAATAATTGTTTATCTTACCACTGTGTCACATTTCTGTGGAAGCATTTCTCTAAATGTGACGAGGTTCATTTCAAAAAAGAAGGAAGAAAAAGCGTGAAATGAAGTAATTTTTAGATTATGCTGTAATTAATGCCATGAAATATAAATTATAATTCTCCAATTATTAAAAGAAATATTAAAATACAAATATAACTTAAATAGCAATCGGATGGTGATTGATAATAAGCTATTTGGTATAACTAGTCAACAATACAGTGGTGACCGTCGGTTTTGCTCTGCCACCTAAGTTTTTATGTATCCGGCCTAAATCATTAGGTATTATTTAAAATCTTTTTTTATTTATCTTAACAGTTTGCTTTTAGCTCTTCATTTCTGCCCATAGTTGTTTCAGCTCTTCGGTGCTAACGTAAGAAAAGAAATTTCATCGGTTATGTGACTATGTTACTGTGAAAGACCTGAATGGGTGGTTGTTTACTTCTAACGGGGAATAGAGATAAAAGCATTGTCATTTTGGTAAATGTCCAAAAATATACTAAGTCTAGTTAAGTGCCCCCGCCCGGTATACATTTGCACGATATGCCCTACATCAATGTTTTTTGAGGTTAAATGCCCAGTATGCATTTAACTAGTACCGGTATGTTTCTCCTAATCAATTCTCAGTAGATATCAAAATATCGAATACATATAATAATATCAGCGAATAAATTAATATCGAAGAGGATATAACAAATATTACCGATATACACCAAGAGCGACTATGTGATTGTTGACATTCACCGGTGATAGTCTTGATTTCAGTTATTCACAGTAACATATCTATATTGTTCAATTTATGAAAAATTTCAGTGATTAAAATTAAATACGTACACGAAATACCCTGTAGCGAAAAAAATCTTATAAAAGTATCCTCTGTGGACACATACTACACCATTAATTATTATATGTAGCTGGAGTGCAAACAATAAATTATAGATAAAAATTTTGTTATAAAAATTTCTTACAGTGACTACTTTATAATTTTCTATTCCTTTTTTCTTTTCCATTTCCATAATTTTCCAATTTATTCATAATCTGATATATAATTTGCATATAATCTAATATATAATTTATATATAATCTAATATATAATTTATATATAATCTAATATATAATTTATGTATAAAAAATCTTATTCATTAAATAGCGAATGTTTAATTTGTGATAAATTAGCAAGTAAGCGTTGATCAGCAATTTTGATTGTTGACATTCACCAGTGATAGTCTTGATTTCAATTATTCACAGTAACATATCTAAATGTTCAATTTATGAAAAATATTGGTTATACAGTCAAACCCCGCTATAGTGAACCTTCAAGGGACCGAAATTTCGATTCACTATAACCGGGGGTTCACTATATCCGTTACGCAGGCAATTTCCCTAATGGTTCCCAAACTCCTCCCTTTCATTACATTATATTCATATAAATGACTGAAAAATATTATGTAGTAGCAAAAAATGTGTTATTTTTCACCACTCTTCGTCTTGCGTACAAATAAAAATTAGTAATCTTTAGCTGATGAGCAATCCTCAACATCAGATATGGAAATACTTCCCGACTCTCAGATAATTTTTCCTGAATTTCTGTTATTCCGCTTTTTGAACCTGTCTAACCTGCCATTCGAGCACATAAAAGTAGTTTCTATAGATGGTTTTAAAAATCGGTATATGTATTTATTTTGAAGTAGAAATTTCAAAATTATTACAAAGAAAATGGGGGGGGGATTGTTGACAGAAAAAAGTTCATTATATCCAACTTCTCATTTTTATGGTTCACTATATCCACTAAAAATGACATTATACGTGTATAGCAAGGCACGGGACCGAGCATTTCGTTCACTATATCCGGGAGTTCACTATAAGCCGTGTTCACTATAGCGGGGTTTGACTGTATAACAAATATTTCCACCAAAGCGACTATATGATTGTTGACATTCACTGGTGAAAGTCGCAATCTCTTGATTTCGAACATTCACGGTAACAACTACATGCATGTGTTTAAGTATTTTATAAAATATAGTTGTTTTTGCCACCTGCTGATGCCTCCTTCAACCCAAATATAAAATAAACTACCTTTCTCTTTTGTCTTGACCGTGATGATCTCACTGGCCTGCCCCCGTCCATGCTTGTTGTTTGCTGTCAGGTAGATGTGATAAAGTGTATCAGCCTGAAGATAAGTCAAGGAATAACTGGACTGTTCAGCAGACACGAGAGGGACGTGCAACCAGTGGCCATTGGTCCTTTGGTAATGCAGCGTGTAACCTGAAAACAAATATCAGTGTCCTCCAAAAAAGAAAAAAAAAATGCGAGTAATTTTATTTCTTCATTAATTTTTAAGGAATGAAATCTGCATACCTAAAAAGAAAAAAAGTCCTCACACTTCCTTGAAGTTAAAAATTTGGAACATATGTGAAATAAAAAATTTGAAAAAATTTAAAATAAAAAATTGCGATCTCTTTATTACGATCACTGGTTAGCCATTGGTCAAATGCTTTTTCTTTTCTGGATGGACTCCGTTAAACGCCACAACATTTCAAAGCATGGGTTGCTGTCTCTATGGATGTTTGTCGTCGGATTGGTTTTCAAATTCTGCCTATGCACGTGTTTCAAGACGTCACAAAATACTTTACCTTCTTTAGTATTCATATTTGTATTATAATCACCGTCAAGTCAGTAATTACCAATTGATAATAAAAAGAATATAAAAATACTTTAAATTATTATTACGTAAATACATTAAAAATACCTGGTAGTGAAGAAATAAAAGAATTCTAAAAAAATTATCAAACAGCGGCGGTCGAGATAGCAACGCATGCAATGACGACGCATGCGAACTGTTTACAATTACTCTTGAACACAGTTGAAAAGTGTGATGACGTCCAAATAAGGTGCCCACGCCATCAAACTCAAAACAACACCCATTTTGCCAATGGGTAAAGAAAAAAAAAGAAGCTTTATTTCGGTATCATACGAGTATTTTGATAATTAGCCTAACTGACAATAATGTTAAATTACACTTTTTAACTAAGAAGTCTCAAATTTGTATTTGTAAGATAAATAAAAAAAATAAAAAGTTTCACTTCGATATTTTTTTAATTATTTAGGTAATTAGGAGGTTCTGTTTTGATTGACACAACCTCTTTACAAGCAGAGAGTGGCACAGGTTTGAAAGGATATCCATACAAAGGAATTATTGTCGAAAAAAAATAAGGGTATTGTTTGGAGCAATATACATATAGCAGACAACTTAACAAACTAAAAATAGCAAACGAAAAGCAAAAGACGCACAATTTGCTTTATTTAAATATAATAAAGACAAATTTTATTGCAAACGAATAGGAATATTTTTATAAAAATGGAATTTTAATTGTTTACAGTATAATTTTCATTATGGAACACTAAACAACCTATAATAGTTTGAGAGAATGTGTAGAAAATTTTTTATAGCACCACTGCATATAAACAACCAATTTCAATTACAAATTTCAATTATAATTCTATTCTCTCATACTAATATTAAATTTGATCTGATTTAATTAGCCGAATTAAAAAATATTCCGAAATTAAATAATTTTAAAATATGGTTTCAAAAATATGGTTCTTGAAGAAAAAACAGAGAATAAGCTGATTAGCATTTTTGTACAAGAATAATTTAGTGGATGATATCTCCAATTAAAAATTATGTGATATGATTGCTAAATTATGAACTGAAATCGATTATTTTTTTTTAAAAATCAGATGAAAAAGACGAATTAACAATCGTGAAACTACAAAGCTCCACCCTAAAAAAATTGCAACTGCATTTCCTGGAAAGAAAGTAATAAATAAGTGCGTAATCCCTGAATAACGATAAAAATTTTATTACGTGAAACTGTTAATTTTTTTAAAATTATTCTTTTTATAAGATGACTAATTCTCCAAAAACTTTGAAGCAAGTTGAAGAGAATTTGTTGAAAAATTTAATTAATCAAACTTGATTAACATTATTAGCTTTTTATTAGTTTTACATAAAAAAATGATGTTTTTTTTTTTCAATTTCTAGAATTTTTGCATAGTTTGGCAAGTTTTTATAGTGTATTTCTACGCATTTTGGTCATGAAATAAAATTCCCTGTGTTTAATAAAATGTTTATGTTCAATAAAAATGCTAAAGGATTTTCAAATTAAATTTTTTACATTTTGTTTTGCAATTTTTCATTTTACTTACAAACTTTAAATAACTGCTTTTCAATAATATACAGAAAGGAAAAAAACAGTCTTATTTTTTAATTCATAAAATTGCACCAAATATTGTCCAAAATATTGGATCTCAAAATGCTAATTTAATATATTTGCTCTTAAAAGTAACGAAATACTTATACAAGTTGTGGAGAAATGGACTAATTATTACTTCAAAAAATTAAGTTTTGTCATGCTGCTAAACAAAAACCGCTTAAATTGCAACTCTTTAAAGAAAGAACCAGGTTAGCCATTCCATGAAATGCTGACCTAAAAAATGTATTATATAATCCAGTAATTATTTTTTTGTGTGCAAACAATATTATAGATAATCGAAATTTTGCTAAATTAATTATGTTCTTTTCAAACTAAACTTATACTATATTCTTTCCTAATAGTAAAAAATTAATTTAGTAGAATTGGTTTGTTTTATTGCACAAACAATATTGTGGATAACAAAAAAATATAGATAGCATAAATAACTATAATCAAAATTTAGCTAAAAATTAATCCTACAAAAATGTAACGATAATGTCAGAACTAAAAGCTTTCTTATTAATTTATGATTTTACCCCTTGAAATACTTCATTTACTTTCAATAAATTAATATAACGATTAAGTAAGATATATTACCTGTTAATGGGTCATCTCTGTTCACCACTTGATTCCATTTTACGGTTATTTCTGATTCAGAAGTACTCACCAATGAAATCGGTGGGGATTTCGGTAAATCTGAAGAAATAACAAAAATGATTCCTTTTAGATTTATAAAACTAACAGTACTCAAATATGATTGACAAGAGCATTTTGCACTTACAAACGTCTTAAACATTTAACAGAAATAATATCAAAAGATAAATTTGCATTTTGAACGTAACTCAAAATACGCGCGGACATAGTTTAAAATGTACATTTGAAAAAAAAAAAGAGGAAAAAACGGATTTAGTTTGGAAAAGGATTAAGAAAATAAACGCAAGAATAAACGTAGATAAACGTTTAAGAAACTGAGTACCACACAAAACGTGTCCTTTCAGCGTGAAAAACATGAATTCAAATTTTTAACAATTTAGTTGCGATTGAAAAAGGCGAGCAAATCTGCTTAGTTTTTCTAAACAGTACGAACAATCATTATTCAAAACTCATTAAAAATACTGTTTAAGAAGCAAAATCAAATTCATGCCAAATTTTCTTAAATAGATCAATCAAATTTTTTTTCAAACTCAATTTTTTTTAATCGCTCATTTTCAAACACAGTTCATTTTCTTAAATGTGTCAGAAATAAAAAGTTCATCAACAACCGATTAAACATATTGACTGATTAAATATATAAAATTTTTTCGCACCATACTCCTTGTAAATAGAATAGAAGCTTCAAGGTTACGTGATTTTCCCACTCTCCACACTTCCCACCTCTTCCTTATCATGGTTTCGGCAAACCATGCCATGTAAAAAGTTGGAACATACTGGAGTGGGGAAAACAAGCTTTGTCGAAACCGTAATATGGGGAAAGCGTGGAGAGTGTCGAAGATTCCATTACAAGAAATTCCATTTACAAGTTGTATAACTTCAAACAATCGAACACAAAAAGGTTTTGTTCTTACCTCCATCGAGAGTCCTGACGATTAATTCTTGCGAAGGGGGTCCAGTACCGGCTTTATTGTAAGCCTTGACCAAAACGCTGTATCTTGCAGATTTCGTAAGGCCCGTCACTAAATACTCGTAGTTCTCATTACTATTGGCCTCGATGCTTTTGAAACTGTAAGGCTGGTTGGTTCCTTCTGTTCTATACCCAACATAGTATCCTTTCAATTCACCGTTAAGGCATTCCTTTGGGGGTGGCTGAAACAGTAAGTTAAGCATTCATGAATAATGTTTCCTATTGAAGCAGTTTGGAAAAAAAAAATCACACACCAACTTTGATCTGGTTTAGTAATTAATATAGTACTAGAGCTACACTATTGACTGTGATCTAAGGTTTTACCCCAGAACACACTACACTAACACAGATCAGATTGGAGGGAAAACCTGACTAACATCAACGATTTGAAAACTTTTGGGGAAAATAATTAGATAAAGGAGAAATGTAGAAAAGACTAGCGTTTAATTAATTTTGGTTCAATTATTTCTATAAACTGTTCATTTATACCCCCACATATCACGAATTCAATGGATTAGACAGTTTATCTTCTCCTTCTGATTGGTGACCATGCATAACAGTGGTTTTGGGATCTAGGACTTGCAATATTCTCTGTTTAATCATCTCTCAGAGACCTTATTAGTAGCTTTATTCATCATTAATTTTATACGTATTGCAAATCTGCAGAAATGAGCTTTCAAACGACTTACAAGCATTTGTTATTTGCTTATAAGCGATGTCTTTTATAGAATTCTCGAATGTAATTTTGTCGATATCCCAGTTCATGACTAGCATTAATAGCTTCATTATCTATTAAGAACATACGTAAATCTATTATGTATTGAATTAATAAATATTAATGCGCTTCATAAGTTAATCATATTAATTCCATAGTCATTAACTGCTCAAATTACTTATAAGTCTTCTGTTTGCTTATGAGCTTAAGCAGCTGTAATAAAAGGTAGGTATTTTATTTACGTCTCACTAAATCTGCACGGTGGGCTATTACAACCGTCGTTGAAAAGCCGACCCAATTTTATGGGTTTTCGACTACTAATGTTCAACTCCGTAGCCTTGTAATTTTGAACCTAATCCAGAAGACAAGGGAACTCCTGGATAGAGTATTGGGAGAAATTTGCCCTTTTGGAGGACTTTTTGATGGAACTAACTTACATGGAGAAGAAAACCACGAAAACCTTCCACGGTTAGTCTGATGGCAAGGGGACTCTAACCCATGATACGTCTACCATGGAGGATATTTTACATCAGCACTGTAGTCGGTGAGAGCCGGTTGCGGAATGAATTCGTATCGACCAGCCATTGCCGGGATTCGAATGCGGTTCACCTCATTAAGGCGAACGCTCTTTCCTCTGAGCCACCACGGCTCGGTAGAACAATTTCATATCCATCGTTGAACAGCCGACCCAATTTTGGTTTTACGACAACTAATGTTCAACTCCGTAGCCGTGTAATTTTGAACCAATCTAGAAGACAAGGAAATGTCTAGATCAATACCCCCAGAGGTATCGATTTGGTATGGGAACATGGAGGACTTTGCGACTCGACAGATTTGAAGTGCATCAGTCACCATTTACTACACGGGTAGTCTTCGGCCAGCCTGGGATCGAACCCACGAACTCTTGTACACGGGCCGCAGTGCCCTACCAAACAGACTATCCCGGCCTCCCGGAAGAACAATTTAACGAGAATTCTTACAGCACACCCTCGGTTTCAATTCTGTTTTCAATGAATGTTAAAAATTAAAATAATTTAATATGTACTTTCACGTGCCACTGAAATATTGATTACGTGATTTATGTTATGGGTTCACCATCTCTTCCGTAGAGGTTATCAACCTTACCTTCCATTTAACTAGAATAGATGTTGGACCTCTTGCTTCGACATACAAATCAGTTGGTGGACCACTTGGCTCTAAAATAATAAAATGAAAAAAAACATTATCTATTGGAGACATATATTTGAATTTTTTTTATAAAAAAAATGCATGCATTTTTAACATTAAAAATGGTAGAAAAAAGATTCACAAGTCTTCAATAAAAAATTTTAAAAAATTGAAAAAAAAAATAAAATTTATAATTTTTGATAAAATTGAGAAAAATATTGATGCTTCCACATTAATGTTTTTAGTTTATCTTAAATATATTGACCATACTTCAATTT